TAATAATAATAATAATAATAATAATAATAATAATAATAATAATAATAATAATAATAATAATAATAATAATAATAATAATAATAATAATAATAATAATAATAATAATGGACAACTAATAATAATAATAAATCAAAATAAAACACAATAATTCTTATTCAAATAGGGTGTTACAACAGTCCCTTCATCTGGTATGGAACATGCAGGACAAAGCGCAGTCAAATGGTCGTATATGCCACAGTTGAAACAAATATCTGGGAGGAAATCATATTCTACCCATTGGACCTTCTTACAAATCGTGATACTAGCACACAAAGGCTTATTTAAATCCGAGACCACCGCTAGACGAGCATACTTACCCTCGTTTTGCCAAATGTCTGATGATCAATCTTCACCACTTCGCCCACAATTTCCCCAATAGTCCTAAATACCTTCTTGTGGTACAGGTGAACTGGCATACCCCGGTCGGTGAATCCACGTCACCAAAGATTTAATTTGATTACAAGTTGCATCAAACTCACTCCACGGTTGGACGTGTAAATAATATTTAGTCCAAGCCTACAATTGGGCCGGACTCAACAAACTTCCCCTCCAGATCAAGTGGTGGGCTCCAACAAGCCCGCTCTTCGCCGGCATACATCAAGCTTCTCTTTTGGGAAAGTCTTCGTCATCATGTCTGCACCATTCTCACTCGAATGAAAAGACGAGTTCTTAGAGAGGTGGATAGCGCTTTGGCTATCACTGAACACAACATACATCTCATGGTGCAAGCCTAATTCCTCTAGGAATCGCCTCATCCACAAAGCCTTTTTGCAACCTTCTGTAATCGCAATGTACTCAGCTTCTGTGGTAGACAACGCAACACACTTTTGCAGCTTAGACTGCCACGACACGGCTTCCCCTGCAAAAGTCATCAGAAATCCTGAAATGGACTTTCTGGAATCAACATCACATGTCGTATCTGAGTTGACATATCCAACTAGCATAGGATCAGCATCACCGAAGCATAAACATGCTCTTGAGGTACCTCTAGGATATCTCAATATCCACTTGAAGACTTTCTAATGTTCTCTTCCAGACTGGAGAGAAAATGACTGACTACTCCAACAACATAAGCAATATCGGGCCTGGTGCACACCATGGCATACATCAAACTGCCAACCACAAACGCATATAGAACTCGACTCATGTCTACCTTGTCTTTTTCACTTGTAGGGAATTGCTCCGAATTGTGCTTAAAGTGACCTGCAAGTGAAGAGCTCACCACCCTTGCCTTGCTCAAGTTAAACTTCTCAAGTACCTTCTTGATGTAGTCTTCCTGGGATAACCATAGCATCTTATTCTTTCTATCACTAGATATCTTCATACCGAGTATCTTTTTGCCGCTCCTAAACTCTCTCTTCAACTGAGCAATCTTTCTAGTATCATGGCCTATGACCAACATATCGTCAACCTACAAGAGGAGAATAAAAAATTCATCATCGAAATACCTCTTGACAAACACACAATGGTCTGATGATGTTCGGTTGTACCCTTGACTCACCATGAAGGAGTCGAATTTCTTGTACCACGGTCGCGGATCTTGTTTAAGGCCATACAAGCTATTTTTCAATCTGCACACAAAGTGCTCTTTGCCTTGAACTTGGAATCTCTCGGGCTGCTCCATATAAATTTCTTCTTCCAAGTCGCCGTGAAGAAATGCAGTTCTCACATCAAGTTGCTCGATCTCCAGGTTCAACCGTGCCGCTAAACCAAGGCAACACGAATCGAGGACATCTTCACCACCGGAGAGAATATCTCTTCAAGTCGATTCCCTTTTTCTGACCGTACCCCTTCACAACCAATCGTGCCCTGAATCGTGGCTGCGATCTAGAATTTTCAATCTTCAATCAATAGACCCATCTATTTTTTAGCGCTTTCTTGCCTTTCGGTAACTTCACCAGTTCATAAGTGTGGTTCTCGTGAAGAGACTCCATCTCTTCTTCCATGGCTTTCAAACACTGCTTCTTCTCATCGACTAAGGTTATCTCTTGTAAGTTTCTGGCTCTCCAGCATTGGTGATCATCACATACTCATTTGAGGAGTATCTAATAGACGGACGCCGCTCTCGACTGGATATCCTCAAAATAGGTTCTTCTGGTGGTTCTTGAACCCCTTCTTCAACTTCATCAGTTGGCTCAACATCATCAACTGTGGGGACATTACCATTTGCAGGACCAACCTCTTGATCAGAATACACAGTAGGTATAGGGACTAGATCTAAATCAACCATATCATCATTGTACTTCTCTGTCATCTCGGCTTTATCGATGTCTTTTATACTCTGGTCTTCTACGAACACCGCATCTCGACTTCTTACAAGCTTTTTATGCAGTGAGTCAAAGAACCTGTATCCAAACTCATCAAGGCCATAACCGACGAACACACATGGCCTTGTTTTCATATCGAGCTTCGACGTCTCATCTTTCGGAATACGAACAAAGGCCTTGCATCCAAAAACACACAAGTGATCGTACGAAACTTCCTTTTTCCCGACCACATCATGTCTGGAACCTCAAAATTCAATGGAACACATGGAGTAAGATTCAAAACATGCACCACTGTACTCAAGGCTTCACCCCAAAAGGACCTCTGTAACTATGACTGCGAAAGCAAACATCTCACCCTTTCAACTAGTGTTCGGTTCGTCCTCTCAGCTAACCCATTCAACTGAGGAGTCTTTGGAGGTGTCTTATGGTGTCGAATACCATGTTGCCTACAATACTCATCAACTGGGTCGTAGTATTCGCCTCGATTATCTGTTCGGATGCACTTAAGCTTCACACTTTTTTCTCGTTCCACACGAGCATAAAACTTCTTGAAGACGTCTATAACTAGATCTTTTGACTTCAACATATACACCCAAATCTTCGTTGAATGATCGTCGATGAAAGTCATAAAGTAAAAGACACCACCAAGTGTTCTCGTCTTCATTGGACCACATACATCAGAGTGGACCATATCCAAAATAGCCATTTTGCGTGGGTGGGGAACTCTCTTGAAGGCAACTCTGGTTTGCTTCCCTGCCAAGCAATGAGCACACTTCTTCAGAAAACCCGTTTGTACACCTGGGAGGAGATTCTTCTTGGCCAACACTGTCAAGCCCTTCTCGCTCATGTGGCTAAGTCGGTTGTGCCAAAGTTCTACATTGCGTTCGTTAACCACCGCATTTATCATAGAATCTGCAATCTTCACGTTCATCACGTACAATGAGGAACACTTCTGCCCTCTCGCCACAATCAAGGATCCCTTCGTGAGTTTCCATGTAATACCCCGTTCGATTGTGAATTTTTTGTGTTATTATTATTATTATTTGTGCCCTTTTTATTATTATTATTTGCTAATGTGATTATTATTATTATTATTATTATTACTATGATATAATTGAATGTCTATATATATACATATTTAATTGTCAAATTGTAATTATTTGTCTAAATGCATATTTTTATTATTAATATTTTAAAAATATAATGTGTTATATATATATAGTCCGGTTTGATTTTATTTGTCATCGATCAATCCGAGCCTCGATTAAATTGTTGAGTCGATCCCGAGAGAAACCAGGCGAATTTGGGTATTTTCCGTGG